CACGCGCACACACACACGCCCACGCACACGCACACGCACACGCACACGCACACGCACACGCACACGCACACGCACACGCACACGCACACGCACACGCACACGCACACGCACACGCACACGCACACGCACACGCACACGCACACGCACACGCACACGCACACGCACACGCACACGCACACGCACACGCACACGCACACGCACACGCACACGCACACGCACACGCACACGCACGCGCACGCGCGCACGCGCACACGCACACGCACAGGAACACGCGCACGCGCACGCGCACACGCACACGCACAGACACACAGACATACAGACCACACGAGCACAAACAAGCAGACTCATGAACACAAACACAAGCACAACACAAGCGCACTCACGCACGAGTACGCACACGCGCACAGACACATACAAAGAACAACCACAATCAAGCTGACCATGTTTGGGTTGATTACTTTTGATGATGTTGGAACAACGCCCCCTTAGTGGTGGACCATGTAGGTAACATGTTGAAGTTGTCTACCAAAGAGTCCAATGATGCCAATCCTACTGAAGGGTTCGCAAAACAAAAGGAAAAGCCTAGGCTTCTATTGAAAAACATTGGGCCTATCGCCGATATATGTTCTCAAAACGGTCCCTGCTTTGGGGCTTGCGAAGCGATACGCATCACGTGCTTCGAACTGCAGCCGCGCCGCCGTTTCCTCTCCGGGTGCGGCTCGAGAGAAACCACCAGATTTGATGGACCTCAGCGTCTAGCTTCGTGATGCCACACCTCAGCCTTTTTTACAGGGTTTCCATTTGCTTAAGCATATTTTTTAGCTTCCCAAGTGGGCTTTAAAGGGAACTAATTCTAACGGAGACATGTTTGTTGTTTCCCCGAAAGGCTTAAGCAAATGGAGCGACATCTACAGATCTCCGGCATTTGATCGATAAATGTTTCAATTGCGATTGAGTGCTGATAATCAAGCGGAAATGCTTCGTGCTCAGTGGCATTGCTTACGTGCACCAGCCACAATTGGGTATGTTTTGACACTTAGTCCAAAATTACTTTGCCCTTAGATGACCTGGACCGACACAGAGCCCCAATTTTTTAGGCATTCAAACATCGAACTTCTTGAACCCGCCTTTTCAACAAGGAACGCTGCACAAGGCTTCTCCTTAAAGCAAACCCAACGGGATGAATATGTTGTTTGATTCTTTCACACCCCTCCAACTTAACACCCCGAGCATTTCCTGATAGAACATGGAGCCCGCGAACGCAAGCAAGTATGGAACCTCAACAAAATGCAGCTCAAGGACAACTGTCTCCGCCCAAAGGCTCATGACCTCGTCAGACCCGAAGAGCCCCGTCGAACGAGTCCTTTGAGACCCCAACCCAGCAGCCTTACAGGTCAGGCACGTTACAGCAAAAAGCTGTCCGGAAGCCATGACTGAGAAGACGGCGTGGTACAGGCGTGGTTCGAGAGTCATTCCCAGTTTGTCTTGGCCCTATTTTGTGAGTCGGTGCCGAAGCTGACCGAGCTGACAGGGGAGTGTGGGGTCAAAACTTTCCTTTTGGGGAAGCCCCTTGTCCACTTCCGTGATTTGTGAATCGATTGCACCCTTGTTGGCTTGCTGTTGAGGCCAACCGGTCCATTTTGTTGACACATGTTCCATGGAGCCCGTGGCACTTAACAAGGCCGTGCGTCTCTCCGGTTGTTTTAAGCATCACATAGTTTTGGTTGCCATTTGCAGTGAGACTTCGCAAGGCGGATGCCCACCGCTGCTTTGCAGCGGGGCTTCACGCTGCCAAATTTGCTGAACATCACTTACGTGGACACCGCCAAGGCCGGCCGGGGGGTTCATTTTTGGGCTCCGGGGTAGCTGGGGCCTCCAAACCGATTTGAGGTTTGGTAGACGAAATGTGCAACAGAATCCGAAAATATGATTATCTTAGTGCCCCTTTGTAGGCCAAGGCAGGGGGCAATCCCAACCACAAATAGGCGCGGCATCCACCTTTTAAAGTCTTTACAAGGTGCTGTGTATATCATTTTAGTACCTGCCTGGTTTTTGGGGACGACCAGTCGCGAATTTGGAGACAACCTCTTTTTAATGAATCTTATTAGTCGTACCCCTCATGGGTATGCGTCAAAATGGACCCCCACAAATTAGAAAATACAAACAAACACTTGTTGTGAGGCTCTCCTACTGTTCGTTCATTTCATCGATTCGCGTGGTTTTGTGGGAGATTTCGTGAGTTTCCCCTTGTCCCATTTTGTGAGTGTTGTCCTGCCGCCCCCTCAGGGTACCATACCCCGAGTTATTTTAGGGTGTCAGCAATATATGTTCCAGGCCGTGGACCCCCCCCCCCCACCCCCCCCCCCCCCCCCCCCCCCCCTGTGGGGGTGGGGTGGGTGGGTGGTGGGGTGGTGGTGGGGTGGGGGTGGTGGTTGGGTGGTTGGGTGGTTGGGCCAACCCCCCCCCCCCTGTGGGGGGTGGGGTGGGTGGTGGGGTGGTGGGGTGGTGGGGTGGTTGGGTGGTTGGGTGGTTGGTTGGGTGGTTGGGTGGTTGGGTGTGGTTCGGAGTTGGTTTGGCTTGGTGGGTTGGTTTAGGGTTGGTTCAGGGTTGGTTCAGGGTTGGTTTGCGGTGGGTTTCGGGTGGGTTTGGGTTTTGGTTGATTTAGGCTTAGGGTTGGGGTTAAGGAGGGGTTGCAGGGTGGTTTGGTTTAGGGTAGGATGTTGCGAGAGGTGCGGGGGTGTTGGTTCACGGGGTAAAAGGGGGTCTGGGACCGAAGCTGCAGGGCTCGCACGGTACTGGACAGCATCCCCAGCATTGCCAGCATCATCCCCAAGATGCGGATGATGCGGGGGAGTGGGGGGACCATACCATTGGGGGGGGGGGGGGTACGTGGCCCAGGGACTGGTACATATATGTAAATATAATGCCCTTTGGAAAGCTGTCAGTTTGGGGCATGGGCTTTGTGGAGTAGTTTTTGTGGTGACAGTGGGTTCTTCTAGTTTGGGGTGCTTGTGTTGGCCTCGGTCCAGGTCTCCGGGTGGTTCAACCAGCGCCGGAAGCCCTCGGGCCTGAGCCGTGGCCCGCCCCCCAAGGCGCGTGCGAGCGAGCAACCCATGTCGCTAGGTTTTGGCTTTGGTTTTGTGAGGCTTCCCCCAAACTTGCCCGGGCTTGCAAACAGTTCAGAGTTCAGGGGCCAAGTTAATGTGAGTTGGCTTTGTGTGAATGCTTGAAGGGGAATGATAGGGAGCCGTGGATGTGGGCAACTGTCAATATTTACTGTCATCTACGGTATTTAAGGGGATCACACTGGGCACACTCACCTGAATACTTTGCGGAAATGTGGGGGTTTGCTCACACAAGTCCAACGTTGGACGACACATTTACTACTGACTGTGGCGTATGGAATCTTTGTTGACTTCTGGCTGACATCCGTTGTTTCTGTTGTTCTCCTTGGGGGACCTTAGGGAAAGCTGCTAGTCTGCAATTTTGTCCAGACTCAATAAACGGCTTTTCCCTTGCTGACTTTTTGAGGCTCCTTCATCTGCATGTTTCACCAGCAGCATGTAGACTTTGTGCAACGGGTCTATGTCTGGCCAAAGTCTGGTTTTGTAGGTTTTGGATTCGTTTCTTGGTTAGATGGCTTTGTATCTGTGAGTCGTTTTGTTTTTGCTAGTTATTGTGTTTGTTTTTCTCCATTCAAGGGATGGCCATGTTGTCTTGTTACATATCTCGCGCTCTCAGACTCTCTCTGTCTGTCTCATGTTCAAGCCATCTTGGGAACACGTTCAATCCGCTGCTTTTCCGTATTGTTGTTCTGTTTCGTTGTCACGGAAACCTGGGACCCGAATGATCGTCGACATTCTTCCGACGTGTTTCGGAATCCAGGGGGAAGCTTCCAGGAAGGGGCTGAGTTTGATGGTTTGATGGTGACATTCTGGCTTCCTTTTCTATGGGTTTGCGACCAGCCCTAAACACGGTACCTTTAAAGAAAGGCGCGTCTTCGCAAACATTATTGATATATATATATATATATTATATATGTGTATATATATATATGTATAGTCGTTCCTCTTCTTTCACAGACCCAAGCGCATAGCCTTTCCACCGTTTCATGTGGGCTGTTCAAAAATATCTTACAACCCCTTGGATTGTCAGAGAAACCAAAAGGAGCCATGCTAACAAGGGGGGGTCCCTTGTTTCAGGCAGCACCCGATGGTCCTCACACAACTTGTACCTTGTTCCGGGGTTGCTTTCTGTAGCTCACTTGCCCAAAGCAAATTGACGTTTTGACCTTTTGGTTTGGTCCATTTTTAATCATGGCCTCAATAGGTTAACCTTTTACTTCTGAGTCCTTTGGGGCAACTGAGGTAATATCAGGGAGCCACAGTGATCAAGAATGAGCCATGTTGGTGTCGCAGAGTTCGGCTATTTGTCCGACACCAAAACCGGGCCGACCAGTGGGCCCCGAGAGTGCTGATGGACGCAAAGTATGACGAGCTGGAGGTAACACAAGCTCACCCCATGATGCCAGAGTCGCTTGCTTGATTTCCTTTGTGCTGTTTGTGAATTATGACCGTACTTTGCACAGATTGCGCGTGTCACAAACTAGGGAAGCCCCCTTTGGATGATGATTGAATTGTCCCCTCCATGTGCTTGGGTTTGAACTTTGAACCATGCACTAAAACCACCAATCTCATGAGGGAAGCCTTGGTGTCGGTAGCCGTCTTTCCTGCAAATGGAAGCCGACAGGGGCTTCAATCCGATCAAGAGGTCGCGGCTACCGGACGGAGCTAACGCTAGTTGAACAGCTGTTTGACAATTTGAGGAGGCCTCTGCACTTGGGCTAAGCTTCCGGGCCTCCGGGCCTTGACTCAACAAGTTTGCGGGGGTTCCGGGGGCCCCGAAAGGAAGGGCCTCGAAAAAAGGGGAGAGCGAGAATATGCTAAATTGGGGCCCACCGAATGCATTTCGGGTTTCCTCTTGAATTCCACTTCAGTCACCCAAGAAATGGTACCCTCAGAAACACGAACCCAATTGGCACTCCTTCCCTCGCTTGGTCTCCTCGACTGGATGCCTTGATTCGAGGCGTCCTGCAAACAGATCTTCCAAGCCTTCGGCAAGCTGCGACTCGACCGTCCGAGTTTGGGGTACGAGTCTCCTCACTGAGTTACCCTTCAGAGATGCGGGTGTGCCAAACCAACCGCGCAACGCCCATGTTTTTTGAAGTGTCATGAAGACTCCCGGTAGATGAGCAAAGGATGAATTTTACAGCGAACAAAGGAAACCCGACTTCTTTTTGTTTTGTTTTTTTTTTGTTTGGGGGGGGGGGCGGTGGGGGTTCCCTATTTTGAGACACATCCACAGCATGAATCGTGTTTAGGTCTCACGCGAGTTTGACACAACGATGAGAAGGTTGTGCCCGGTCCGTTTCTGTTGTGTTCTGGCTCGACTCCGGCATAGGTTGGAAGAGGTTAGAAAGGGGCCTAGACAGAAGGCCGGTAACGAACCCCCCACCCCGTATTTGCAGGGTGTATTGAGTCTGAGGTGGGTGGGTCTTCTTTCATGGCCCCAAAAAGAATTTGTTTCCACTAAACAACCACCGAAAAAAGGGGTAAGCTCAAAAAGCGACCTGCCCAGCTAATTGGCGTTATCAACATTCCGTGTGGATTCACTCGGTTTATTCGATTGAAGCACTCGATCCGGATCCGGAGAAACGCGTGTTCTGCGGGAACCCTAAACGGCTCGGGTCATTTGGTTCTACTCGGATGTTCAACCTTTGTGGATGTAGCCAGGACTGTGATTGGGCTTGCAGTTGAGCAGTAGATTGCGCAATTCCCTTGAGTTTAGTCATCCGCCGTACCAGGGAATTGGGCCATCCGCTTTCAGCCAACGTGTTATCTTCCGATTCTTTGCCGCTTAGCAAGCGGAGCCACCGGGAGCCATCGACTATTGGGGCCCAGGGGCATGAACTTCCTGCTTGCGAGTCGGCTCATCAGTCCATTGAAGTGAGTCACTTGCGGATTGGGCAAATGCCGTGTTCCTTTTCATGGTCTTTTGGGGACAGATCGAGAACCAACAATCTTGAGGGTCCGATTCCATTCTTTAGACGACCCCATGTTTTCACATCCAAGTTCCCGGGCCCCTTGAAAAGCAAAACCCGTGGATGTTGAGATCGTTACGCAACTGGTGTTGGATGTAAGGTACAAGCCGTACTTCTGCGACAAGAAGTCCAGGCTCTGAGCTTAGAGTTGACTCCAGTGGCCAGCTCCTGCCGCTCTGTTTTACTTAGCCAGCCGGAAGCCAATCCAACATGGAATTGTAAGTCGATATAAGTCAATCACCGTACATTACATGGGGATCCAACTTGTTCCCTTGCAAAACAATCCAACTGCCTCACTTTGACGGTGAGCTTGACTCACCGATCCGCGATTCGGGGGTACCAACGAAAACGGGGAGTTGACCTTTTGGGGCGACGCCTCCGTCGGCCCAAGCCTTTCGGGCTGCAAGGTGGAGGGCCTGGCCCCTGCTGCTGATCTGCGTCATCTTCATGTACTTTGAGGCCAGGACAGGCTGAAGGGTGGGCAAGACATACTTTGCCAATCCCTGGCTCATTTGTTGGTCCAAAACACCCTGGGGTTGGTCTGGTCATGCACCCCTCACTGAATCACTTTAGTGGAGTGCTGCACAGAGCGGCGTGTGTACCACGGAAAGTCGCTTGCAAATACAAACAATACTATACACAAAGTAAATTAGGCATCAGTGTGGGCGATAGATCAATTATCAGGTTGAAATTTGTTCCTTGGAGGTTGCATTGATTCAAATAGCGCGAAGATTGATTTTTTGCAAACCACGGCCTCCCAAGAAAGCCTTGCGGCTGCTCCCTAGCACGGGGCTGAATAGAGTTGAATAGAGTCATCCAGTTTGGGATGGAGCGTGTGCCCGAAGTTCGAGTGAGTAATTTGTGCGGTTTGGAAGGGAGGAGTGGGCGGCCGGCCGTATGATGATGACTGGCCACACGGGATTTGGGAGTACAGAACACGCAGCTAAGAGTTTCAGTGACTGGGTGTGCTACTTTTTGCAATAGAGGCGCTCAGTCCACGCAGTCACTTGCTTAGCGGGCGCAGGCGAGCCGTTGTGAATCCATGCCATGCTTTTGTTTCATGGCTAAACTCTGGACCGGAAAGTTTGTTTTCTCAGATTGAGCTGTCCCATTTGAGGGATGTTTTATTTGGAAGGGAAAGCATTGTTCTTTTGCAGTGACATGACATGATATATGTGTAATTCGATTTGGATATCCCCGGGAAAGAATGACATACGTAAACAAAGAGAGATAGATATGCACGCATTGTTTTTTCGTTGTGAACGGACCCCCCAATGACATGAGCAGTGCCGCAACAAACCCAGAAGGACTCCTATGGGAACCATGCCCAGCGAAGCTAAGGCGATCCGAATTGGGCGACCCGGAGGCTCCTTGCAAGTCTTCTTTTTGGAGGACACCCGCAAGTTTGGGTTTGCTGTCAACTCAAAAAGGCCCTTTTTCAGGTCCAAAACCGTAGAATCTCAGCGAAGCCGGTGGCTCGCGTTTCGCAGGTCCAAACCGGCGTAGATATCTCCGACGCCGTCAAGGACTGGACGAGTCGTAGTTTCACGACACATGCTCAGAACGGCATGGTTCCCTTTGTCTGGTGCAAAAAAAACTATAGACTGTATTTTGTTGGGGCTTTGCCTGGTTTGCTATCCACCAGGTTTATCAATCTGACATTGCTTTTCGGGGCATTCTTAAAGTCAATGGTGAGTTTGAGGCAAACTACAATGAATGGAGCTCACTACGGAAGCGAACCCAGCGGACAGTGCTCAACAAAACGACGCTTTCCGGGGATCCCTCGACTTGATCCGAAAGCCTGCCTTCAAAGACTCCCACCCCAAACGGACTCAGGACGCAAGTTTGGCACCGTTTGCGGGGTCTCTTTGGTGGGAGGTTTGGGGTCCCCTGTGTTGTTTGGTGAGGGGCACCAGGGATTTGGACTTATCAGCCAACCCATTTGGTTTCCACCGAAGTACAAGGCCCCCAAAGGAAACCGGCGTAAAGACAGCTACATTGCCGACTTTGATTTAATGATTATATATATATATGTATACATATACATAAATATGCATATATACACCTTATCGGAGAAAAGACTGGTATGCGGATGCCCTAAAGCACCTTCCTGACTTGTTATAGCTGTCTAGTTCAACAGATGTGATGCACAAATTGAATACACAAAGGGGACAGGGTGTTTTAACCAAGAGACTTCGAACCGGTGACTTGTTTAGAAGTATTAGTATTTAGATCTCTGAGTTAGTGTCTGCCCCAGGACCAAGTTTCCGCATGCGCATGCGCAACTGCAGCATGAGAGGCTAAAGTTCCGTGCCCAAAAGCTGAACGAAGCAGCTTTAAGCCTATGGTCCCCCAAAATGCTTGGTTTCCGTTTGGCTTCCCTTTGCATACCGGCCAAGAAACCCCCACCTAAGACAAAATATAGAGCCTCTCGCAGGAATTTACATGTCGAGTCAAATACGGCACCCAGGTGTCAGGATCCTTTCAAGAAGCTGATCTTCCAGATACCCTCGGCTCGGAGTATACCCAAATCCCTATGTACATAGTTGGCCCAGTTGGTAATTGATAAACCAAAATCCAATGTTAGCTATCGGGGCGCGATGACTGCTGAAGGTGGCTCACACCTGAACAGCTCATTGGACCTATCATTCAACGTGTGCTTTCCATGTGTCTTTGTTTTCGCCTCAAGAGTTGAGTCACTGGCCGACAACTCCTGTCGAGTTCTTGGACTTTGGGGGTGTTGGGGACCGTTTCAAGTGGCAAAGCCCGGCTTTCGAAGTGGCCATCCACGGAAGTGAGTCCTTGGAAAACTACCAGCACGCCAACCATTCATGGGTCTCCAATTTTAGGGCGCAGGTCACTTGTCCAGTCCAGTGCAGAAGCATGTGTGTTTGTCTCAAAATAAGGGGAATTGCCGGTTTCCCTTTTGGTTTTCCGTTGAGCCAACCCCAAAAAAGGGTACCTGCACAAAAGACGAGCCCCCCATTTGTTGGTGTTCTATCCCTAGGACGTCAACAACGCGCTGGTGGCGCAGGAAAAGGATCAGTTCTATCAGGAGCTGCGGAATGCCGTGCCTGGGTTTGTTGAGCTAAATGGGCGTTGCAGTGTTGAGCTAAAGGGTTGCCTTTCTTGTTGGGAGGTATCCAAGTTTGTATTTAAAAAGGGAGAAAAAGGAGCTACCAGAGTTCTGGTTAATTGGGGAATATGGTATATAGGAACGCCCACAATTGTCGAACACATGTGTATATGGGAGCCCACCAAGTGAGTACTTTTGCCTTTCCCTGTAAAATAACCCCCAAAAGGGTACCCTCAAGAAAAGACACACCCACACAGCAAATGGTTCATGAGCAGAAGGGGTTGAACCATAGGAAGGGTTAGATCAGCCATTAGCGGAATCTTCATTGTGCCCTTCATGTTCTATGCTTTTTGGTTGAGCTGCACACGCTGGTGGGTTGTTAGCTTTCCCACAATCCCAACTTAGCCGCTTTACTAGATTCTACTACAGGCTGTGTCATGGAAAGGGGGCCATTAGCCACAACCATAATGTTGGCGGGCTTTCATTTGCTGAGTTTGGAATAGGGTGTGTTTGTGCCTCTTGATGTGAAAGGCATGTGTGCCATTGCAAGTTTGCGACAGGTGTCTCTACATCTCATGCCTTTTGAGAAGGGACTGCGTGAACTTGTGTGCAGGAATCGGTTACAGTCTCCCGGTACTTGTTTGTTCTACGGATGCACTGCAACTCTCTGCGGTTCTTGCCTTTGTCAAGCAGAAATTCTGAACCAAGGCAATCAATTGTCCAAAACCTGAGTGCTCCGGGGGAAATACATAGTCATGTATATATATATATATGCATCCCCTCTCCAAAACCTCGCGCCTGCTGCTTGTGTAAGGGATGTCAGGGCATTCTAGATTGATGTTACCCGAAGTGGCCTCATTTTACAGTGTTGGCAGACTTGCGCAGATCATTCATTGAGGCTTGCCACCCATTTAGATAGTATTTGTTTTTGTAGTGTGTGTGTGTGGCATTCCTCCTTTTGATCCTTGTTCAGCCATGTTATACATGTTCTGGTCATAAACCAACTTTATGTCAACTCGAGTTAATTTGAACATAGCATCAGAAGCAAAGTTCGGTACAGTGCAAAAGCGAAGTTAAGTAATATGTCGTAATACACAGGGTAAAAGCCAGAATCTGGCATACATACATCTCTCAAGTGTTCAAACATGTCAGTCAATAAGAAAGCATTTGCTTTCACAGAGAATCGTGATGTTCTCTCATGTTTTACTGTCAAAATGTGCCCATAGTAATTTGCTTTTTCATAGTTCAGTTGACTGTAATGCATCTCTGTGGGAAACAGCAAATCAACTGGTGTGCAAGTCCTTTTCGTTTGTCAACTCATCTGCAAATCCCCTTCGTCTGTCAGCTCGCAAGCCTTGGTCAATTCAAAACATCTGCTGACATCTTATAGCCTTGACCAGTGCCACGCTGTCTGCTACAACAACTGATTTCCCTGAACGAAATATGTTCTGCACAAAGCCTGCTAAGAAGCATACAACACACTGGCATGTACAATATCTTTTCTCAATATCCAAGGGTTGGCGTGGATTTCTTTAAACAATTGGCTAAGGAATGAATTATCCAATGTCTATATGCTGAACTATCAGCTGTACTTACCAGGCAGTTACCACACAAGTCCAAAATAATACTAGGGTGCACAAGCAAACAGGCATGACTGAAAGCAGACGCTTTCTTTCGGATCTAAGATTCAAGATTCCAAGGACTCTAGTTCTTGAATCTTGAATCCAGTATATGGGGCCTCCAAAACGCTTTCAAGCGCCTTTGAAGCACTGTTCGATCTAAGATTCAAGATTCAAGGTTCCCTGGACTCTGGATCTTGAATCTTGAATCCAGTACGGGCCACCAAAACGCTTTCAAGCGCTTTCATACAGGTAGCTCATGGATTCAAGATTCAAGAGGACTCTTGCTTAAATCCAAGAGTGCTTTAAAGGGCATTTTGGTGGCTCCATACTGGATCCGAGATTCAAGATCAAGAGTCCTGGGAACCTTGACTCTTACACCCAAATCTGCTTTCAAGCGCTTTAAAGCGTTTTGCGGGCCCCATACTGGATGCAAGATTCAAGAACTAGAGTCATGGCAATCTTGAACCTTGAATCTTAGACCGAAAAGCGCTCTCTTGGGGCGTGTTTTGTGTTTTGCCTTTTTTTGTTTGGGGGGGAGAATATGTATATATATATAATTATATATATGTACACCAATATTTATGATATTTCTACACATATGCCTAAAGCATGCAAGTGTATCCTGCACCTGAAGCAAGTGGAGACGCCTATTGAGTCGAACGGACTTTCAGGAAAGAACCGCTGTGCGACCTTCCTGTTCAGCTGGAGTACGCCTCTGCACCCCCCGTACGAGCAGTTGGTTGAGAGTACATGACCGTAGCCCCACTTGGCCACCCCGCAAAGACACACCCAGGCCTTGTTTGGCCGGCGGCGCCCTTCATTTTGCCCCCCCCCCCCCCCCCACGGAAACTAGAAACTGAGGCGCTGATCGCCGTGAGGCAATCGGGATGGGGATGGAGATAAGGGAGCCTTCAAAAATCCCTGCGTGCAGTATAGCAACAATGTCACAAGGGGATTGGTATCTTGACCTATGTAGCCCCCAGATTTCCAAGATGACTGGTTGAGACCCTTGACTTGGCGACTTATTTATTTCTACCTACCCAACGTGAGGTGCTGTTGGGGAGTTTGAGCTGTGTGGACAAAACGCCTTAGGCCTCCATTGAAGCCTCCATCGGAAGGTGTTGGACCTCAAAACAGGCCTGTTTGAGGGCCCAAGATGCTAAGGGAAGCATTGCAGGAGATGTGTTTTTACGCCTTGTTGACTCAAGACTTGGCTTGGATTACATTCCGGGAAGAAGTAATGTTCACGTGCCATGGGACATGTTCACCCTGGATTCAACCACACAATGTTGGCCGATGGCGCTGAAATCCACTCAAGCGAGTTCATCCATCCTGTTACTTCTATGGTTGCTCGGGCAAATCGAATCATAGCCTTACAAAGGCCACAAACAGTTGCTTTAGAATTCCTCGTGTCCGATGTGACTTGTATTCACTCAGATTGATGATATTGGTGCGTGTGTTCTTTGAGGATGTCCTGAACCCTTGGCTTGGGAAAGCGAAAGCACAACCATCATGGGTGGTTTCCGGTTACCCCTCTGACACTTGCCCCCATGATAAACGTTGCCTACTCATCTGCCCGAATGGCGAATGGTCGCTCCCGATCAGGGGGGGGGCTCTTTGAGGGGTTCCGGGTCGATGAATGGCCTCACCCGAGTTGGTCTTCATTTTTTGTTGCAAAAACTTGCATTTGTTGTTGTTTTCTTTTTGTAGAGGAGGGGGACTTCTTTTGTTTGGTTTTAAGGGGAGAACCGCACGGAAACCAACCATTTGTTGGGTCCCCCCAAAACAAGCCCCCGTTTGCCTTTGCGATTCAACTTTCGGCCAAGCCATGAGTTGAGGGTTCCGGTTGGATTTCTACATCTTAAGGCCCTTGGATCCCGAAAAAAGCCGGCCCAAAAAGGGGGATGCCACTGTCGACATTGACACCTCTAGAGTCATTTGATCAGCCTCAGGGTGACTCAGGGTTCAGCCTCTCTCTGAAGCTGCCTCTCGGTTGACTTGGAGATTGACTTAAGTTGAGATCTCCCTCGGGCTGACTATGTATATATATATATATGTAAACTGTTGTTTGCGTGTTGCTATCAACATCGAGTGGCTTCCAAGCGCATTATATAATTAGGGCAGACTTGAGAAGACTCATGCAATCGAGCGGCCAAGAGAATGACACGGAGATTCCCCAAAGGGTTGAAGTCTTACGCCTATGGACCAGAATCTGAGCTTTTTTTTGTGTACCTCTCGTCGCCTTCCTCCGTTGTGGGTGTCCATCATTTGAATGAGCAGGACGATCCACGCCAGCAGGAGTCTTTTGCCATGGTCATATCTGTCACATAGAGGAAGGTGCCCGAGGACTCAAGCTAAATCCAGTGGCGGGTTTTGAGCTTGCTGCGGGGCAACTTCTTCCAAAGGTTCTCTAAGAAAAATCACGCAGGCAAGAGCAAATCCAGCCCTTTCTGAGGTAAGCCCAACACCCACCCAGAAACACCCAGAAACAGGGCTGCCTTAGTCGAGGTCAACAGGGGCAGGAATAGTTAGCACGTGTGTGTGTGTGTGTGTGAAGTTTATGAACGTCAACATTAAGTTTGGTTTAGAAAATAGTGTGCATAATTATTCGGCCCCTCACAGCACCTGAGAAACAAACTACAAGGCAGCCACCATTTCGGCGGGGGGGGGGGGGAGGATGTTTAGGCGGATGTTGCAAAAACCATGTCCAATTCTGAAGAGTTAACTGTTTATCTCCTGAAGAGCCTTCCCCCTTCCCCTTACATATCTGAGACACTCCAAAGCGTTTCCGATGCGAGAACGGCCGCCCCAGTTGCAGGCTCATTCCCATCCTCTTGATGCACTTGGGAGCTGCTTGCTACCTCGCGCTGGACTGGCGACACTCGGATCGAGCGGATATCGAGTGAGCATCCCGGGTTTAAGTTTGAAGCCAAAAGGAAATGTGGGTTCCATTATTTTGAGATGCCAAACGGAAACAAGGAGCGATGCTTTAAGAGATATGAAGAAAACCCTGCAACTTGGCTTCTCTTTGAGTTCCCTCTAAACCAACCCAACTCCACAAGCGCCTTGTCTTCGGACTCTCAAAATGGGGGGGGGGGGGCGGTTTCTTGAAAGCGCCCTAGAAAACAGGTACCAACGCCACAAAAAACATGCCGATTATCCTATATATGCTGTATATACGTGCTTGTTTGTAGGTATATGGTAAATAAAGTGTGTACATGGTATACATACGAGTGAAGGGTTTCTAACTACGTGGGGATGCCCCAGCGATTAGTCTGGGGATTCTAAAGGCCCAGTCTTTGGTCAGGGACCCTGCAACCCCCAAACCACACCCACGTGGGCAATGCCACTAAAAAGGGTGTGTGTTTTTTCTTGAGGCGCGTTTTTGTGGTTTTAAAGGGAAACCAAAAGGAAAGCCCACCCAATTTTGGCGTCCCCACCCAAACGGTCTACCCAAAAAGTGGCCAAAGCCCAACTCGGGGTCCAAGTTCGGGTTGGGAGCCCTCCCTTCTCTCTAGCTAGGTTTCAACTTGGGCGCTGGCAAGGCAGCAAACCACGAACCCACCAAAATGTATGGTTTCCTTTTGGTTTGCCTCAAAACAGGCGCCCCAAACAAGACGCACCCACATCGAATGCCACTTTGCCCCCCTCATCAGTGTGTCTTTCTTTGAGATCCAATCCACTTTTGGGTCCACAGGGTCCCCCATTTGGACAGCACACGCCAACTTAGGCAAGTACCTGACGCAGAAGGTGTGGCCAAGCTGCAAAGGAGTTCGACCACTTGTTCCAGCAAAAGGTGGCACCTTCAAATGGGTGTCTTGTTTGTTTGTTTGGTTGGTTGGTTGGTTGGTTGGTTGGTTGTTCGTTCGTTCGTTCGTTCGTTCGTTCGTTTGTGTGTTTGTTGGTTGGTTGGCTGGTTTATTTGTTTCTTTGCTTGGTTCTTTGTTTGTTTGTTTGTTTGTTTGTGTGTGTTTGCTTGTCAGTCGGTTGTTTGGTTGGCTGGTTGGTCGGTGGTCGGTCAGTTCGTGGGTGGGTTGGTTGGTTGCTCGGTCGGTTGGTTCTAAGGGTGCCCTTTGTGGGATAGATGTAAAGTGAAGCCAACAGGAAAGCCGGCCATAAAAGGACTTTTGACTGCTTGGACAAATTAGACAAAGACGGGGAATGAACATGTTTGGGGCCCTCCAAAAGCCGATCAGGGAATTAGAGCCCGGAAGCCCTCAAAGCCTCAAAGTGATTTGTTTAGACTAAGGAATATGTTGGGAATGCTCATGACCAGTGACCCATTGTGCAAGGTCCAAGGTTCCAACCTGGGTTCAAAAGCTGTCCTTACTCTTGTGCCAGATGGTAGGAGTGCAGCGGTGTCCTCTTGCGGAGTATGGATTGGGGATCCTCTCAGTTTGAACAACCCAGCCAGTAGGGAAAAATATGGCTCCAAAAGCACATGAGTGTTTCTCAAATAATTGGGTAAGTATGTCGTTTAATTGAGGTTTTGTTGGCTGTTCCAGTGGCAACCGTCCCCTCGCTTTGCTACCACTTTGGGTGCTATCAGTTGTAATTAATTATATATCCTTATGGCGAGCTCTCTCTCTCTCTCTCAATTTATGGGGGTTCAAAGAAGAACATGGTTTTGGAGTCACGTTGCTTGGTGTTGGCGCGTGGTGCGCAAGCCCGAGCGCCGAACCGTTCGCCACAACCGAGGCTTGATATGTATGCTGCTTGGCTGCTTTCAGCTTCCGAGGTGGAGAATCCTAAGCATCACCAAGCCCTCTGTTGGAGGAGACTGAATCTCCATTGAACGCGTTATTGGATGTTTTGGACCACACAAAAGGGCTTCTTGAGGTCAGATTTTAGAGCAGCATGAATTGTGTATTTAGTGGTTGTGTTTCCATATTCCCACCCCAGTAGAGATGGAATTGGGGAGGGTGGGCTCCACTTTTGCTTGTGAGGGAGATGATGGAACTAGAACAATGGAATTGGAAACACAGTCTCGCAATACACCCATGGATTTTGTGTTTGACTGTGCCCTGCTGGATGCAACGCAAAACCGGGGGAGGGGGGGGGGGAGCGGGCGAAGACAGGGATGTGGATCCTAGTGGTTTGTCGCCATTTGTGTGTTCCTCGTGGATTGTCGGGGATTCGATTCTTGATTAGTCTCGTGTTTGCTTGCATTTCTGGTGGTTTCACTTGGTTTCCCAGGGTTTTTCGTGGTTTCTGCTGCCCCCACGTTTTTTTGTTGGTTCTGCTTCTTTGGCCTCAGGTGGACGAGAAGCAGTGCTTCTACCGCCTCAAGACAGAGCTGCTTGCCGAGAGGCTTTCCCAGGAAGTTCGCCCAAGCCCCTAATTTGTCTGAGTGTGTGGCATGTTCCATCGTTTCCCGGAGAAGATCCTCAACCAGAAAGAAGAGTGCCCCTTTTTTCCATGGCCACTTGAGGTCGGGGCTTGTCCCGAGATTGCCCTTGATCCTTGGCTTGAAACATCACCTTTGGGCACATGGGCCCGGCGAGTTTCCCTTGGGTGTTGTTTTAAGGAGAAGTATGGGGACCTGTGTAGCCGTGGCAAAATCCCGGTACATGGGCGATGGGCTCAACGGATATTGATATTCATGCATTTGGCCTTCAAAGATCTGGACCAACCGCCTGCAATCACCGAAGCTCGTTTGTGGTGACGAGACCGTCATGTTTGAAAAGGTTGCAAATTAGCTCAAAGCAACCAGCAAGCAATGACTCTATTGCTTGTTTGTCTCTCCGAGTATTCAGCGAAAGTAAATGGCACATTTCCCCCAAGTTTCGCTTCAGTCATCCCCTGTACTTGCTGGGGCAAAAAGCAAACACAACCTCGTGAGATCATCTACTTGCACCCTGGTCCAACTCGGACCGAAGCTCCCAGCGAGGGACTTGGAAAGACCGCTTTTAGAACCCCGTGACTAGACCTATAGGGAACCCCCCACATGGCCGGTTTCCCATGGGCGCAACAGAAAACACGCCCCGGTTCGATTCCATCGGTGAACAAATTGGGTTGAGCTTTTTGAGGTTATCCTGTTCAGGTTGGTGTACATACCCATAGTGACTCGACATGACCCCGCAATCTTCTTACCAATGCCGCTGTCGGATTTGCATGGTTTGGCCTGGCTTTGTGATCAATTGGAAGCACCTCGTTGTTATGGCTTTGTCTCAATCTTAGTTTCCTTGCAAGTCAACCCAAAACAGGGTACCAACTCGAAAAAAGCCGCGCCCAAGCCTTTGACTGCGTCTCGTCCTTAGGTATGGCAACTTGGACAACCCGGACCAGCGCATAGCTCAGGACATAGGCGGATAGCCGGAACTTCGAGTGAGGAAGGATACAACTTCAGAGCTCCAATGTGCAAATAGCCCAGATGGAAATGCCATTGAGGGACCTTGGGGTGTTTGCAGGACTGACCCGCCAAAAACCCAGCAATTCCCCAGCAGATCAGAGGGTTGCAGGAATGTGATCGTGTTTGTTCAGTCGCTTCTGTGATATCCGGAGCCTCACCCAAGTGAAGAATTTGATGGGAAGGCCTTCCCTTAATGGGCAATTCCCACCCTGCTCCTAGCTTCTCAGGGATTAAATGACCATATGCCCAAATTGTCCTATAAATTTGCATTAATCATTAGGCAATACTAAACCTATTCTAAACTCTCGGATTCCTCGCCGACCCCGACTCCAGTCATAATGCGGGGTTCTCCCAAGACAAATTGATGTTCAATTGGCATAATCCAAATTTACATTGTCGTCCTAATTCTGCCTTTGAAATGTGAACTGCAAATCCCAAAGATGCCTCGTAGTTTGCAATTTAGATTGGGGAGACTCCACAACGACGACCCTATGATACACCATTAATATGTGTGCGTATATATACATATATATATGGGTGTGCCTGTTTTTGAGGGTGCTCCTGTTCGGTGGTTTTAAGGTGAAAGCCACCTTTTTGCGAGTTCCCCCAACAAAAGGAGAGACACCCACAGTGGTTTGCCCAAGAATTTCCGTAGGTGGTGTGCAGTAGGGGGAAGCAGTCAGACTTTGGGGAGTCCCAGCCCCCTGCCTCCTATGGGGGGGGATCTTAGGATGTATGAGCTCCTCGAATAGGAGAAAGCTTACGGGTGGTTTCCCTTTGGTTTCCGTTTACGGCCAAAACAACTGTGCCCCCAGAAACGGGCACACTTCCATTTTACAATCTGTTGCACTTCGCTGGCGACCAACATGGAAGAAAAACAATGGCTTTATGTGACGTGACGATTTATTCATCCGGACAGCTGCACCAAGTGCTCACTCAACGGACCATTCAAAGGGGTTTTCGGAAAGAATTTTGAAGTCCAACAAGCGAGATATTAATCCGTCATGACGGTCAATAACCCCTAAAATGGGTGTTTCCTTTTAAGCCACCCAAGGGAAACCCTCAAAAAGCCACAGCCCCAACAATACTGAATTTGGCTTAAAGTACCCCACAACCCCATCGATGTTGTTAAGGACCTTATCCTAATTGCTCAGTGCCACCCGTTTTTTTTTCCGTTCGTTTGGGAAGCCCTTTCGCCATGAAAAACCACGGGGCTTCTGAGTCGCCGATCGATGGCCGGCTCTGACCAGGCAACTTTTGCCGTATGTCCCTGCGCTTGATGTCCGCGCTGGTTTTGGATGCCTGGCTCTCGGATCGAGCGGTATAGACTCTAGTAGAGACCTCATTCCAGACCCCCGGTGAGGTCCTTTTGCCTTTTTTTTTTTTCCGGAAGGGGTGTCCCTTTCAATCAACCAACAAAGAAAGGTGCCTTTTTTATCATGGTCGCTGGAGGTCTTCTGGTTGGTTTTTTGCTTCTGGGGCTCACGTGGGCAATTCAGCAAGGGGCACCATGTCGCTCGCTTCGAAGCACCCCAAGTGTTTCTGTATCCGGTCTCCTCTAAAATTTGTTTTGCAAAGGGTAGACTAAAAATGCAACACAGTCAGAACAGAGTATTTCCGCGTCCCCAGATGTTGGCCGAATAATCGGGTTGCAAAACATTCCAAGCTGGCTCAGAGCGCACGCCCCATTCAAGCTTGGTCTTACACTTGCCCGTGCAAATTAGCAAGGACCTCGAGGGATCCATTTCCCAAGATATGGTTTTAGTTTGACAGAGTAAGTCACATAGTCACATAGGTGCTCAGGCAGGGTCAGGAGCGCAGTTAAAGTGAGTGTTCTTTTGGTAGGTGATGTTCAAAGGGGAACACAAGGAGCCCTTTTGGGTGTTGTACTTTCAGGGCCATGGCGAGCGCGAGGGGAAGCGCCGTAGGGCCGTAGAGCTGTTTGACGTATGGTTGTGAGTGAGTCTCCCTGGGTGAGGAATGATCCGTTGGGTCGGTTGGATTCTGCCAACTTGCAGGGAACATCGCCGTCGAGTTCTTTGGCAGAGTCATTTGGTCTCCTCCCAAGGTCTTCAAGATTGCGGCCAACTCTGCCGCGCTCATCCAAATCTCCGCTTTCCTGCCAGGACCCGAATAGGGATGGGGGATCAAGGCCGATTTCTCGGTGAGACCTGCTTTGCTCCCGCAAAGATGGCAAAATCCGCCGTGTTTGGGTGTAGTTGATATTTTTCATATACATAAATGTGTGTGTGTGTGTGTGTTGCTTTTGGTTGCTCTCCCTGCTGTGTTCTGTTTGTGCGTCAGTGGCATCACCTTCGTCAAGAAGTGATCCGACCCTCCGTATTGGAATCCTCAGGTGAAAGAAAAAAGGGAATCAACTTGCAGAAATGGATGCGGGATCTGGGAAGGGGAAGCCCCAAGCAAGGGAAAGGTTTTGATATTGCTCTCAGCCTGAAGCAGGTTGTTCTCCCATTCGTCCCTGACGTGGCAAAATTTGGCCCCTCGTACGGGGAAAGCGAAAGAGACCAAAGCAATGTTCTACCTCGGTGTTTGGTCATGTTTGAGTTGTTCGGCCCAATACATGGGCTCAGAGGCAATCCACCCGCTCCTGACTTGGGTTATATAGAAGAGGTGTTTGCCTGGCGGTGTGCAGCCATTTAGAGTTGTACGTTCTAAGAGATTCCAGGGATTTCTTGCACATCCCACGAAACGTTGAGCCACAATCAAAGCCCGAGTAGATGAAGGTTGGCACGGGATAGTCCAAGCCATAAACAGGTGCGGCCGTCCTTATAACTCTGTGTATACATGGTTCTGGGTGCCCCTTTTGCTTAGCAGATTTTGATTGGGACTCAATTGAACTTTTAACAAGGCTCATTTCGCTTAGGCAAAAGTTGAGGAACTATGGACCCAGTTGGTCTGCAACTTGAACTGCTCAGGTTCTACACCTTAGTTGGCTGCTCCTTCCTCTACACAGCCCGGACGCCTCAGTCCTGGATGCCTGTGCTCATGTTGGTACGGGGTTCTACAGGGCTGCTTGTAAATCCGGTTTTGGCCATTTGCAACATCACCTTGTTAGCAAACCTGGAGTCATTGTTTGAACTGGTTCTGTGGATTATCATAGTCAGAAACTGGGGCGGTTTCTCTTTAGCCGACTGCGTAGAGCAGACTTAGGGGTTCGCTTTGATAGTGCTGAAAAATGGGGCCTGAGTTTCTATCTATATGTCCTTGAGATATGTTGATTGTTGAAGTCACTGGGCAGTTTTTGCGCCGCGGAATCTCTGATCAACCATTTCCATTTTTGGTGGGGGCGCTAGTGTTCCACGGCCACTGATACCGGCACACCCACAACCTCGTCCACACACCTTTGCGAGTGTCTTGTTTTTGGGGTCCCCAAAAATTAGAAACCGGGTACCCTGAAAAAAAGGCACCCCTCTTGTCGGCGCAGGATTTCCGCTGGCTTTTGTTCAGCGGATCCATGGTCTCTGCGCGAACCGATGCTTCCACTTCGAGCAGACATGGGAATTCCGGAAGGGGAAGGGGAGTGGATGGGGTTTCCATTTGTCGGTTGCCCAGACGTAAATCCAGGCCTTCTCCTTGGGCAAACAACCAGTGGGTTTTAAATCGGTTGCTCCTGAAAACCGACTAACCAGGCACTTCCACCGGGAAGAAACAACCCCCATCAAATGTCATCCAACGTCATGTCTTGGCCAAAAATAATTGTTCCCCCCCCCCTTTTAAACAACAAAAACTGGGCAATCCTATGGCTTGTATGTGCGGGTTTGGGTGGAATTCACAAAAGGGTCCCAGAGCTGCTACCCTATTTGCCATTTCGCCCGTCTTTGGATTCTTAGGGCTTGTTCGGCCCCAAAAAGGCGGGAAAGGATTGCCTTGAAAACCATACAGCAGCTGGTGAGACACTGTCATTTTCCCATACTGACATGTGCATGTCGCATGTCGGCAATATTGTTTCTGACCCCTGCGCTATGTTTTTAGAGTTCCTTGGCTCTGCTCGCACAAACAGTCAATTTGTTTGCATATTGCCAGACATAGCTTAATTACCTGTAGCATTAGAGGTCCTTGTTGGAGGTCCTTGACAAACATAGCTGCGCTCGTCTGAACAGATTTTACATTTTATAGAAGGCTCACTAAATATGAACCAGCGTCAAAACAGACCATGTTTGGCTGGGGAAGGAACAACAGTTCAGGTAGATACGAAATGGTGTTCACATCGCCCAATAGCAGCCGTGATTCTGTTGGTTTCCTTTGGTGGTGAGGACTTCGGCCTGTAGCCAATCGTGATGTGGGTGTGTGTTTGAGGGTGCCTGTTCTGCGTGTTTTTGTTTGTTCCTGAACGAATGCAATTTGGCCAAGTTAGGGACCTCCTTACCAACTGTGTCAAAGGGTTTCAAGTAGGCGATTGTTAGATGCATCCTTTGAAGGACCTTCTTTAACCCCTGCCCTAACATTATTCGAGCCTGTATTGAAGGGGAAAGGGACCTCCATTGGAAGGTGGGGGGACCTTATTTCAAGGGCAAGGAGAACTATTAAACTATTTTTAGACATGTACAAGCGTTGACTTAGCCATGCGCAAGCTGTTCTGTCGGCCTGCGCGGATGATTCTCTAGCCATGGACGGTTTTAGATTTTTAACCATATACAATCATGCATTTTCAACCATGCATAAGCGTGGGACGGCTGGGGCGCGTCGGCCCTCTCCGGCCCAAAACCTTGTTTTTCTTTGTTAGGTTTTGGCACTTGTCCTGGTGGAAGCCTGAGTCTCTGCAGAATGCTCGCTTTCCGCCCCAAAGCCTTTTTTAGGTTTTGGCCTTTGTCCTTTTAAAAGCTTGAGTCTCTGCAGTCTTCCCGTAGTCTTCCGATAGTCTCTGCAGAAAACCAAGAAAGCGCACTGTTTGGAGGCCGAAAGCCGTCATTTCGGCCCTGACATGCTCGAGAGTTAGCGTTTGGCACTTGGCCCCGTAGTCTTCCGATAGTCTGTGCACTTCCGATAGTCTCTGCAGTCTTACCGTAGCCTTCGGATGCTAAAGCCAAGAAAGCGCAGCCGAAAGCACACAAGTCTAAATGCTTCTTTTCGGTTTTCGCACTTAGTCTTCCGACAGTCTCTGCAGTCAGTCTTCCCGTAGTCTTCCGATGCTAAAGCCAAGAAATGCATTGTTTCAAGGCCGAAAGCGCTCATTTCGGCCCTCTCTGGCCGAGACGTGCTCGTTAACAAACATGCATGTCTGCGCACATCACATAATGTTCATGCACACAGTGCACCACATTACCTTACATTACTTTACGTTACAATCACGCATTCATTCAGTCATTCATTCCATTCCATTCCATCCCGTTCGTTCATTCCTTCCTTCATTGATTCATTCATTCATTCATTCATTCATTCATTCATTCATTCATTCATTCATTCATTCATTCATTCATTCATTCATTCATTCATGCATTCATGCATTCATTCATTCACTCATTCATTCATTCATGCATTCATGCATTCATGCATTCATGCATTCATGCATTCATGCATTCATGCATTCATGCATGCATGCATTCATGCATTCATGCATGCATGCCTTCATGCCTTCATGCCTTCATTCATTCATGCATTCATGCATTCATGCATTCATGTGTTCATGCGTGCATGCATTCATGCGTTCATGCATTCATTCATTCATGCATTCATTCATTCATTCATTCATTCATTCATTCATTCATTCATTCATTCATTCATACATTCATTCATTCATTCATGTATTCATTCATTCATTCATTCATTCATTCATTCATTCATTCATTCATTCATTCATTAATTCATTCATTCATTCATTCATTCATTAATTCATTCATTCATTCATTCATTCATTCATTCATTCATTCATTCATTCATTCATTCATTTTGTTATTATCTTATTGATTGATTGATTGATTCATTCATTCATTGATTCATTGATTCATTGCTTCATTGATTCATTCATTCATTGATTCATTGATACATTCATTCATTCATTCATTCATTCATTCATTCATGCATTCATTCATTCATTCATTCATTCATTCATTGATTCATTGATTCATTGATTCATTCATTCATTCATTCATTCGTTCGTTCATTGATTCATTCATTCATTCATTCATTCATTCATTCATTCATTCATTTATTCATTCATTCATTCATTCATGCATTCATTCATTCATTCATTCATTCATTGATTGATTCATTCATTCATTCATTCATTCATTCATTCATTCATTGATTCATGGATTCATGGATTTATTGATTCATTGATTCATTGATTCATTGATTCATTGATTCATGGATTCATGGATTCATTGATTCATTGATTCATTGATTCATGATTTCATTCATTGATTCATTGATTCATTGATTCATTCATTCATTGATTCATTGATACATTCATTCATTCATTCATTCATGAATTTATTCATTCATTCATTCATTCATTCATTCATTCATTCATTCATTCATTCATTCAATTCATTCATTCGTTCATTCATTCATTCATTCATTCATTCATTCATTCATTCATTCATTCATTGATTCATTCATTCATTCATTCATCCATCCATTCATTCATTCATTCATTCATTCATTCATTCATTCATTCATTCATTCATTCATTCATTCATTCATTCCATTCATTCGTTCGTTCATTGATTCATTCATTCATGCATACATTCATTCATTAATTCATTCGTTCATTCATTCATTCATTCATTCATCCATCCATCCATCCATTCATTCATTCATTCATTCATTCATTCATTGATTCATTCATTCATTCATTCATTCATTCATTCATTTATTCATTCATTCATTCATTCATTCATTCATTCATTCATTCATTCATTCATTCATTCAGCCACGCCGCCGTCGTACAACAATCGCCAATGGGGTCGGCTCTTCAGCGCGCTGGACGCCATTTATGGCGTGCTGCAGTTCCTGACTGTCACCGTTGAGGAGGTGCAGCAGGAACAGCAGCGACGCCACCGGAATATATGCTATCTTAGCGTCGCGAAATATACTTTTTGAATGCCTCGGCAGGAAACAGCCGGATCACCAGCGGGAAAGAACCCTGCCTGGTCTTTTGTCATGGCTTTTTGAAGGACCAAAGCAAAGGGGCAAACGGCGCGAATCGGCTGCTGTTAACGGAGTTCTGCAGCGGTCTGCTGAACCGGCTGATGACCAGCAGCTTGTTGCTGACCAGAAGCTCATTGGTTGTAGGCGACCCTTGCTTGGTGCAACTTTGTGTCAGCCATGCTTCACCTTCGTTTAGCCCAGCTTCCAATTGCCACGTGATTTCGCTGGGGCAGGCCGCGGGCCACAAGAGAAGGCAGGAGCACCGCAGCAGGATGATCATCAGTTTGCCTGAAATGCTTTTGGCTGCGCCAATGTTGCGCCAAAATATGTTGTGTCGCGACGCTGCTGCTAGTAGCGCAATTGTTCCCCAAACAGTGTGTCTACACTAAGGGGTTCTTACGGTAAGAGAAAAGGCCTTGGTGCCAGATTGAGGTGCCCGCTCTGGCCGCGAGCGTTTTGCGTGGTATTTACCGCAGATTCGTGCTCTTGCTTGATGTCGAAGTGCGTTTCGACTGCGCAGGCTCGCACAAAGTGAGTTGGCGACTTCTGTCCAAGGAACTGCTATATGTACTATATGTGCTATATATTCTGTACGCGCGAAAATCTGTAGTATATGTGCTATATAGGGCCATATAGCACATACAGCACATATAGCAAGGAACCCGGGGAGAGTGGATGTTCAGTGGGTTGCCTTGTGAGATATAGCACATATAGCACATATAGCAAGGACCCCGGGGAGAGTGGATGTTCAGTGGCCGCGAGCGTTTTGCGTGGCATTTACCGCAGATTCGTGCTTTTGCTTGATGTTGAAATGCGTTTCGACTGCGCAGGCTCGCACAAAGTGAGGTGTCGACTTCTGTCCGCGGGCGTTTCGCGTGGTATTTACCGCGGATTCTTGCTCTTGCTTGATGCTCGCACAAACTCGATGCTTCTGCTTTTTTGGCGGCTCCGGGGACCGTGGGGGTTTTGTCTCGTGGTCCTGCGGCACGGGTTTCCGGCGAAAAGTCCCGGGCTCGATTCCCGCCCTGTCTTGTTTCCCTTTCTTTGGGCATGCTTGGATGGTGCTTCTGTGCTGCGACGGCGTCTCGATGGTACTCTGAACAACAACACCCAAAAACAGCAACAGCAACAGCAACAGCGCGCCACAATCGAGAACAAAGGAAGAAGCTACCTAGCTAGCTAACTCACTAACTAAGGCACCCTGGTGAAACAAACACACAGATCTTGCCTTTTGTAGTGATGCTTACACACACACACGCACACACACACACACACACGCACACACACACGCACACACACACACACACACACACACACACACACACACACACACACACACACACACACACACACACACACACACACACACACACACACACACACACACACACACACACACACACACACACACACACACACACACACACACACACACACACACACGCACACACACACACACACACACACACACACACACACACACACACACACGCACACACACACGCACAACACACACACACACACGACCATGGCGCTGGCTTCGACACGTGTCTGCTGCATTCTCTTGCGCGTGTCTGTTCCAGGCCGTGTCCTTGTCTTTGTGAATGTGCGCGCAAATACCGCAAAATGATGTTGCAGCTTCCTGACAACAACCGCCGTTTTGCGGCGCAGCCCGCACAATACTCTGCAGCGTGTGACCGCCGCCTATCACTGTTTGGGGTCTCGTGCCGGGGTAATCTTTAATAAGGGCGGCTAGAAGTACGACGATGATGCTGACGATGCCTGGGCAGGTCGTCGGAAGACTAGAGGAAATCGGAAGACCAGAGACTCAGGCCTCCACCACCAGGCCAAATGCAAAAACCTAAAAGCTTGGGCTGAAAGCAACATCTCAAGCTTCAGCCTCCAAACATTGCGTTTTGTTTTTGGAAAACTATCGGAAGACTACGAGAAGACGAGAGACTATTGGAAGACCAGAGGCTCAGGCTTCCACCCCAGTATTTCGGCCTCCAAAGCGAAAACTTTTCTCGGTGCTAGCATTAGAAGAGTATCGGAGGACTACGGTAAGACAAGAGAGTATCGGAAGACCAGAGACTCAGGCTTCCAGCACCAAAATAAGGCAAGAACGGGTTGTTTTAGAGGACGATCGGAAGACTACGGGAGACTATCGGAAGACCAGAGACTCAGGACTCCACCACCAGGCCAAATGAGCAAACCTGAAAAAGGGAAGTGCGAGCCGGGACAAAGCGCTTTCGGCCTTTTTTGGTCTAAGCGTTAGAAGACTATCGGAAGACTACGGGAAGACTAGAGACTATCGGAAAACCAGAGACTCAGGCTTAAATCACCAGGCCAAGTGCAAAAACCTAAGCAAATCAAGGTTTTGGGGCCGAAAGCGACCATTTCGAGCACATCCTCCAAACAGTTCGTCTTCTTGGTTTTAGGGTTAGAAGGCTATCAGAAGACTACGGGAAGACTAGAGACTATCGGGGCTAAGTGCGAAAACTAAAAAACAAGGTTTTGGGGCTGAGAGCATTTCGAACCGGGACAAAGCTGAAATAAGCGCTTTCAGCCTCACAAACAGTGCGTTTTCTTGGTTTTAGCATTAGAAGACTATCGGAAGACTACGGGAAGACTAGAGACTGTCGGAAGACCAGAGACTCAGGCTTCCACCACCAGGCCAAATGCGCAAACCTGAAAAAGGGAAGTGCGAGCCGGGACAAAGCGCTTTCGGCCTTTTTTGGTCTAAGCGTTAGAAGACAATCGGAAGACTACGGGAAGACAAGAGACTGTCGGAAGACCAGAGACTCAGGCTTCCACCACCAGGCCAAGTGCGAAGAAAAACCGAAAGAAACATTCGATCATGTCTCAGGACTTTCTGTTTCAGCAATAGAAGACTATCGGAAGACTACTGGAAGACTAGAGGTAATCGAGATATTCATTCAGGCTTCTACGAACAGGCAAGCTAAAAAGTCAAGGTTTTGGGGTGCACTGCACGTCTCAGCCGGGACAAAGCCGAAATGAGCTTTCCGCCCCCAAACAGGGTGTAAGACTATCAGAAGACTACAAGTTACCTGTGGTGTTATTGCTGGCAGCTGCGTGGGCGCGGCTAAGGAAAATACGTAGCTAAGAGCTAGCTAAGAAATTGATTGTCTACTGAAGGGGAAAGGGATCTCCATTGGAAGGTTGGGGGATCTTATTTCAAGGGTTTTTTGAGGTTTAAGATATTCCTTATTTGTTGCGCTCAGTTTGTGTCCCTCGTCATCTTCGCAGCTCCCATGATGCGTGTCCAGCGCCGGATCTTGGCGGTGGAGGTTGGGAGTTCGATCGCAGCGCTCGGTTCCGGGCTATGCCTGAGTTAGAATGTGCTGAGCCACTTGGGTTGGAACCCCCTATTAACAAGGTGAACACCCTTTAGGGGATGCAACAGTGGGTTATAACCCAGGTTACCAAGAACTTACTAACTTTACCGAGTACCCAAGTACGCGGTTTAAACCGGAAACCCCCCCAACAACAAGAGCGTGAATGTTTAATTGGGGGACCCTTTGGTGGACATCGTTTTGGTGGGGATTGAAATATGTGTACCGGCCGTTTTCCAAGGGGCTCCTGAAGGGAATTTTATAGCCATATGGTTGATATGAATCCTGTTTTTTGTTTTTGAGGGTGCCCTTGTTGCGTTGGCTTAGAAGGAAGCAAAAAGGACATGTCCATCATCACTGGCAAGACGTCGCGTTCAGGGTCAATTGATTCTGTTCACTAGGCGTTTTTTTTTTCTCCGGACGCTGGACCTTCAACAAAAGGCGTTTTTTTTGTTCAATGGGAATCTGCTGATGGGAAGATGACCAAGCCGCGTTTGGGAAGCAAACATTGGTCAAAGGGTCCAGGTATTTTCCTTTTCCAAGGCGACATCTTGTGCCCTCTTGCGCCAGGGGCTCTTCGCATCAACGTGAAAGGCATTGTGTTTCAGAGTTAGGGTGCGTACACGAGAGCCGTGTCCGGTCACAGGCAGTTTGTATTTGGAGTCCTTGGCGCATGAAATACATGTGAACCCCGGTCAATCTTGCACTGGCGATTTGCTGGTTGAGATTCAAACACAGTTGTATTAGGATGGATGTGTCCATACATGCCTAGCCGCCTTGGTAGCCCCACTTTCTGTTGCAATCCCTGGCAAACTATCAGAGAACCCCCTTCCCCTCTCAGTCTTGAGGGGATTGCCAAACTTGCGGGCTTTGGGGGATCTGTGGCACGTAGAATGATTTGTAGGTTCAAATGAAGGAAATACGCTCAACACCATACCACTTCTCAAGCCAAGGCCAACCGTTTGTATTGTATCTGGATTTCTTTCAACTCACTCCCTGACTGCTGGATTTGGCCACTTGTTTGGGTGGAACATCTTAAAACATGTTGTGGCACTAAATGTTGTTTGTCACTTTTTGAGAGAAATCAACTCAGGAAGTGAGTTTCATTTTCCAACAACAAAAAGTTCACTTGCGGAGTCCTCGGCCGAACTTTAGTCTTGGTCACCAGGGCGACCTCCGCTATGTGCTGGTGCGCTTGCGCGAGCATGCGGGGGACCTATGCCTTTTTGGAGGTGCCAGGTGGAATGTCTCCAAGGAACCTATGGCCTTTGGTTTCCCGGTTTCAAAATCCCAAAGGGTTCCTCCAAATGGTGCCACACTTGTCCTTGGTTTCCCCGTTTACCCCCTTTTGGTAGTTCAGCATGCGCCCTGGATAGATTCCCTGGAACATGATTATGTAGTCCTGAAGGTTGCTGGCTCTTCCGTTTGCAAAAAGGAGGGCGCTAAGCATCATCTGGTGGAAAGGCAGTGAACGTGATCTTCTTTTCGAAGGGTGCTGTTCGCAGGTTGGACAAAATGTTGGAACATGTCGGAACCTTGCTTTCCAAGTCGTGCCTTGTTGGACGTTCCTTGCCCTTGTCAGAAATAGCGCAAACTCCCGATTGATTCACAGGTGGTTGTCTTCTCTTAGTGGGAGCCCTTTTCTTTTTGGCGAACCCCCCCTCTATTCATCCGTTATTTGCCCATGCGGAGAAATCATCTGGGAAAGAATTCCCTTTCGGGGAACCCTTACTGGGTTGCTGGGATTGAGTTTGCAGCTAATGTTCCAGCGTGGGCTTCTGGTAGCCCATTGAAATATGGTTCGCCATCATTCACTGCCTTTTTTGCTGCTCCATCACACAACTTCAGACACTTGTGCTGCACTTGAGCGACCCAAAAGATGTTCACCCCAGCTCTAGTCCCCTCTGACAAACATCACGCCCATGTTAGCGGCCTTAGTTTTGCAATTGGAGAGACTTAGGATGACTTAGGAGGTTGGCAACGACCTCCCGGATATAGGCCGCGGACAGATGTCCTCGTGCGTAACCGCAGGCCCAGCCACAAGACCCATGGGTGCCTCCATGTTCCCCCATTCCAGGAAAATATAATACGCATACAGTGTATATATATATAGTATATATGTGAATTATTATGTGTGTGTAGGCTCTTTATATTTGCTTTCCGCGTTGCGATGGGACGAGTTGACACGACAGCTTGGCTCAGAGTACACTGTTTCACCCCATGCTAGGGAACAACATAAGCATGAGCATTGGTGATATATAAACTGTGCATGCATAACCGTTTGTAGAACCATTGGTTATACTTACGCAACTACTCGGTGGTGGTTAAGCAAGGGTTAGTCCGTCGCAACCGGGACTCAGATTCCGAGGCGGAATCTGTTGCCTTCTTCCGGGGCCACCAATACGAGCGCCAATGCAGCGACAAGGCAGAACCGATGGGGGCGACGGGGTCCCACGTTTTTGGAAGAAAAGGCTTCCCTGGTGTCCGATAGCAGACCATCACGTTCCCGAATGGGGTCGGGTCCTGACTTAGTATTAATTTCATGGATTTCCCACTGAAGTGGGACCCCCAAAACTCGCTATATACATTTCTGTGATATCTATATTGCCCACGGGATTACTTATCTAGATATCGTTGGATCGTAGGACATGGCCCGTATGGCTGCGTTGTCTTTTGGAGGGTACCCTTTGTGGTGCGGTTTCATAGGGAATCGCCCATATTCATGACATGTCGGTCAGTCGAGTATAGCTTGAGAAGTCCAAGGTGCAAAAGTTCACATCTGGAGTTTCGCCCTATATAGTGGTAAGTTTTACAGTATGGGCCGGAAGCTAAGCAGATTCTTTTAAGCTTGGCAACAGCCATAGTCGCATCCAGGTTCTCATGATATCAGCGGGCTTCTTGCAACCCCATCGAGTGCCCCTGAAATGTGTCTATCTCGACTGCCAATCAACACGGAACCAAACAACCATTTGTAGTGTAGAGAGTGCTTTTGTTGTTGGAGGGGGGGGGGTCATTTTGGGTTCTATGTTAACTTTCACGAGGAGTACCCATTTATGTGGCGTTCCCTGTCTTTGAGGCCGGGTTATTTCAAAACTTGGCCTCTTTATTTGGGTGTTTCTGTTATTCTAACGGAGCCCGCCAGGGCCACGAAACAAGTTGTGTTGTGGCCAGCGAAGGGAACCATGTAAATATATGGCTGTTGTAACATTATCCTTGCCAGAGCTGCCACAGAATGGTTTTCCAGCATTTTGCACTGGCACTTTTTTTGAACATGAACTGGACCTAATTTAGGTCCAAATTGCAACTAAAGGTTGCACAGCCTGCCTTGAGTGAGGCAAGTCAGTGGCGATTCACATTTGCAGCTTGAGTGCTCATATCTGGGACAGATGAGACAGGTGACAAGGCTTGTTCAGAGCAGCTTCCATTCTGGACACAGCTTGGCCCCCTCATGTTGAACAGCCACGGCAGGCAGTGACAGTCAATATGTCAACACTGATACTGATACCATAAACCCCCGCCATGATTTAGAAACAGGCAAGCGAAAGCTAGGGGGTCGCGTGTCATGGCGGATGATGGAGAAGTTGGCGGAGGAAAGCTGCTCACTGTGTTTCCAAAAGCGTGGGTACCACGGCCACTCGACTTGACAAGTGCAGCTGTGGGTACGGAAGGGGTGCTTGTCAGAAAGTGAAGTTTCAGATGAGTTTGACATGAGTCCATGAGCAACTGGAGTCAGTGCAGCGCCAGCATGTTTGCATCTCACGCAACTCGCAACATCTCAGCCAGTCTGACAAGGTACCTGGAGCGCGCTGGCGTGGATCGGGCCCACTGCCAGCAGACTGGTCCGTTTCTTGGATTATTCAGATTATTCATCATTGAAGGGCCCGGGGAGTTAGGTTTATTTTCAGCTTCAGCTTCACCCATTGTCCAACTTTTCGGGTCACACGGCAACTTGCTCTTGTTTCTTCGACTGAGTTGTTTTTCAAGGTGGGAGTGGGGAGCAACTGCTCAGACGTCAGAGTTGCCAAGCAAGCTAGCTTGTAAACGGACACTGAGGCTCATGAGGCCTGAGAAGCACCTCATTTGAGACATGATGAAACATGTGGTTTGCTGGATTCTTTCAGGCAGGCTTGGTTTGAGATTTGTACGCGGCGCCCAATCATGCTCAAGTGACCCCTCAGTTGCTTGCCTGGGCTGGGCGCAACATGGCCAGTGGATCTGGCAGAGGCTCAGGTGACCCTGGCAGAGGCTCGGGTGACCCTGGTGCAAACTTGCCCGTGCAGCAGGCGTTGCAGAACAGGACCGAGCAGTTCGCGCAGGGCAAGAACACGTTCGTGCCAGACCTTCGCCAGCTCGTGGCACAAGTTCTGGTGGCAGAGCCCATCATGATGCGACAGCTGGCAGCTGCGGCGAAGTTTGCCACGCTGGTGGAGGCGGTTCTCAGCTCCATGTGGCGCTTGATGACGTTCATGCCCGAGGCTCTGGACAAGTTCAACGAAGAGCTGGCACAGGCCCAGCATCTGGCGCAGCAGTGGATCCACAACTTGGTGGCGAAGGATCAGGGCTGGGCAGTCACACCTCCCGAGGTCAATCTCGAAGAGGCCGCAGCTGGCAAGGGCAGGCCAAAGCGAAAGCGCTCAGAGATGGCAGGGCCGGCTGACAAAATCGGCATGATGCTACGGGAGACACGGAACATCATCACAGTGTGCATGGATGTGAAAGATCAGGACAGCCAGATGGACCCCGTGCTGGAGCACATGAAGTTGAACCGGCTGAGCCTTTGCCTGGCAGCGCTCTTCTTCAACCTGAGCCGTTTGCTGAAGGCTCTTCCCAGTGAGGGTTGCTGGCGCACGGGCTGCGAATGGAAACAAGGCCTAAAAGAGGCCATGCACGAGGTTGAGGATTACACATCAGCCAGGTAGGCAGATAGGAGGGCTTCGAGTTTTGCAGGCGGTTGCCCAGGCAGGCATCGGCATCGGCATCAGTGAGAGTTTTGCAACAAGGCAATTGGTCATGGGGGCATGCGGCATGGGCCATGGGCAAGTGCCTTCCACTGACGTAGCAACGGGGTGACAGTTGCTGCAGCGCACCGTAGCTGGCATCAATGACAATGACTCTGGACTCTGAACCTAACTCAAAAATCAATCAATCTTTCAGGTCGACCATCCGTTGAATGTTGAAATGAACGCTCAACACAGCTCCATTGTTTTGGCAGCCGGCGCCCCGCGGCAGTGTCACTCATTCCCAAGAGAGGAATGCTAGAATGCTCTAGGCTGGTGGCCAGGTCAGGTCATTTGTAGTTAGGTCTGAGTTGCCCGGTTTGAGAAGCAAGAGCGATAGAGCGGCTTGATGATCGATGAATTTATGCGTTGATGAGGGTCAGTTTGAGCAAGCGTGTGCCGGGATAATGTGCAATCTGAGGCTTCGCGTGTGGAGCGCCTGCGAGGGAGCAGGGACCACAGCCTACATCATGCATCTTGGCCGACATTATTGCAAGGCTACAGCGCCAGTCATTGCGGGTTTGGGTGGCTGGGTTGCAAGTTCGTAGATTGTTTGTGTTTTGGATGATTTCAGCTTGGGTGGGTAAGCAACATGGGTGGCCACGGTGGGAGGGCCGCGATTGGGCGCCAGCATGGGTGTTGCATTTGAATTTGAAGTAGTTGAAGTAGTCGTCAATGTTCAGTCTGATGTTTGCAAGTTTTGTTTTGTCTATGGGCCGCGGCCCATTCGCTTTCCAGGGGCGCAATTTTTCGATTTTTAGTCAACTTTGGCAGTGCCTTCAACATCGTTATAGCACTACAGCACTGCCTGCTAAGAAGCCTAGGAAGCACATCGGGGAGCACTTGCAGCTCAAGGTTGAGCTGCTTTTCTCGAGCGAGATTGACGAGAAGTCTCGGGAATGGTGCCTTCGGCATGGCGAGTGTGCCTTGGTTTGCATGTTCGGCAGGTGGTCGCATGAGCGAGTTGACAGAGTCAGTAGTAGTAGTAGTAGTTGTTGTTGTTGTAATAGTCATGGAGTCATGGTCCATGGTCATGGTAGCAACATATCAGTCATTCAGAGCCGGGTCAGAAAGATAAGGGCGGAAAAGGGTGCCAGGCAGTAAACTTGCAAAAAATGTTTGATGAGGACTGCTTTTGCAGCAAGCTGATCACTGATACAGTACCGATACTATCTGCCAGAGGCCACGTATTCAGTCTCAGTCTATCATCATAGAATCATAGAATGATAGTCATTGGCAATGGAGTCATCATTGGTTGTGAGTCATGTCAGGCATTTGCGAAAGTTGAAAGCGTGCGTTGCGGTGTCATGAGAGGGAACCACTTCTTCGCGGACGTTGCTGGCAATGAGACAGGGCACTGCTTCACCTGCGACGGCCGTCATGATGACAAAGAAGGAACGGATGACACTTGCCGTGTGGGTAGGGCAAATTCCCCCTAGCCACTAAGAGGTGGAATTGGTGCTTCACTCAGTGTTAGCTTGGGTAGATTCCGACATGTTTCGCTTTGCGGTTGCAAACCATGCGTGTGGCCAGTTGCAGTAGCATTGAGCATTGATGTTCTGAATTCCGATTCACTTGCATGATGCCTCATTGACTCATTGCTGTCAACTCAGTGGCTCACCAACGAGTGAAATGTGACAAGTGCTAAACTTCGAACTACCGTGTATGGACTATGGACAAACTCTCTGGAATGGCACGGTTTGTGTTTGTTTGCTTCGCAGCCAATCCTGGGCCCTTTCAACAGCCAAGGACCTCTTTAACAACGCCGAACTAGCCCTGCTTGGCGTGCCGTGCCCTCTCTATTCGTCCCTCAACCACCGCACGAAGAAGGAGTTCTACAACCCATTTGTTGAGACACTTGGTCTTGCAGTGCTGCGCAGACAGTTTGGTCAGGAGAGTCAGGAGTCAGGAGTCATTGTATAGTGCAGCATGGTTTGGCAAGATTGACAGATGACAGCTGGTACTAGCAATGGCTTGCTGTTTGTGTCTTGACCGTCATTGTCATTGAATAGTTTCAGACTTTCAGGGCTTCCCTAGTTGGTTTTGGGCTGGCTGAAGCATCAATGCCACCGATAGCTGATGTATACCGCACCGTCGCTCAAAGTACATTGACAACAATGACAATGCCGCATTCCCTGTTCCTGACAGTCCTGAGTCCTGGAGTCCTGATAATTCAAATTGTGACTGTCAATAGATGGGTACAGACGGTACAGGCTGTACAGGCGGTACAGGCGTTTTGCGTATGTCAATTTGAACTTCAAGCTGTCTCTGAGGGAAGCAGCCAGCGTGACCAAGAGCTGCCTCTGGAAGATCCGGCAGAGGAACCCGAAAACGTTTGTCATAGAGGAAGTGCCTTGGCTTTGCATGTTTTGCTTGAGTGTCACTGCAGCGGTTGCGAAAGTGTTAGTGGATGAAGCTCCTGATGTTG